TAATTTATTGTTATGAATTTCAAGAAAAAATCTTTTGAGTTTGTTAGTATTGGTACTATGCTTGAGCTCTACAGTATTTCCACACACAAAATAATCATAAAATCCAAGTTTTACCCACAATAAGAATATTTTTGGAATTATTATTGGCAGCTTTTAACTCATTCACACTTTGTACAACTAACAAGTATTATGAGGTATGAATTATAAATTATTAAGTACTTCAAGTTCATAGAGCTGGTACCTGGTAGAGTTGAGATTTGAACTTGGGCAATTTGGCACTACAACTATGTTCTTTTTTTGTTATGCTTTTTTATTTTACTACCTTAGTGAATTTGCAAGGATTTTTCTTTTCAGGCAATACCTATTCCTCAGGCTATATATATTATTTATTTCACAGAATATTTATTTATATCATGACTCCTAAATTTTCTTTCATTTATTTTCTGACTGGTTATGCCAGGAAAATAACTATTTCCATATTTATCTTATAACTGGACCCTAAATTTCATTAATACTATAATGTTCTTAATTAATCCTTTTTTGTATATAATTACATAATCAGCAAGTAATGAAATTGGCCATTTTTGCATGTAATGAATAAATGATGAATTTTTTGGCTGACTAGCAATAACTGTAATTTCATCTAATTAAAATTGTTTTCAATAACATTAAATTATACTGATTTTGAAAATTTTATGATTAATCTTAGTAGAAATTCCGTTGGTTGTCTCTTTCAAATTTTAACCTCAAATGTAGTCTTATTTTGGAAAAAAAAGTCTTATTGGAAATATGTTACTTTTTGTATTCACTAATATTTTCGTTTGAAAGCTTTTTGAAATACTTATATTATTCTTAAATGTTAAGTATAATTACATTGTTATGAGTAACTTATTTATAAATATTCTAAAATGCTATTTTTTAAATTATAGGAATAAATGGAATTGGGAAAATTCTTACAAGAATGGATAACTTTCATATTTATACTTCGACATAGCAATTTTTAAAAATATTTATTTATTTTTTTAGTTGTAGTTGGACACAATACATTTGTTTTTATTTATTTATTTTTATGTGGTCCTGAGGATCAAACCAGGGCCTCTCAGGCAGTAGATGAGCTGAGCACTCTACCACTGAACCACAACCCCAGCCCCACGTAGCAATATTTACAAGACAAAATTCTTCTTTGTGTCTATTTCTTTTTGCAAAGCCACCATTAAAAGTTATTCAACTCAAATAATTCTATAG